AGATAGATAGATAGATAGATAGATAGATAGATAGATAGATAGATAGACAGACAGACAGACAGATAGACAGACAGACAGAGAGCGAGCGAGCGCAGAGTCAGTGAGACACCAAGTAGCCACCAGAGGAGTAAGATGTGAGCTGCTAGCTGAAACCTTGCCAGTAGGCCACAAACCTCATGGTTAAAATCTAAAATATTAGAAATGAGTTAATTTAAGATGTAAGAGTTAGCCAGAAATATGCTTAAGCTATTGGCCAAACAGTATTGCAAATAATATAATTTCTGTGTGATTATTTCAGGAGTCTGGGCGGCTGGGGAACGAAAAAGTAGCCTCTCCTCTCAACATGTGTGCACACAAATAAATAAATGTAATTTTAAAAAATTAAACTATCACATGCAGGAATAAGAACTGAGGCATCTTCATTGGTTTCATAGCATGCAAGGATTAGACCATTTTCTTCCATTCTTAGGAGACATGATTATGCTTAGGACCTGTTTTCCTTTTCCTGGTTTTCACATCGACAATCACAGCTCTATTCTTCTCAGTGAAGTGCTTCAAGATGATCACATTATGGGGTTCATTGGCGTTATCCATATAAACACAGCGGGTTCCCACACAGAGGACCTAGAGCATTGATGTGAGAAGAGACATTTAATTAGGCACAAGCTCAGTCCCTTTTGCTTGCTCACTCTTCTAAAGCACACAGGGATGGGGGTGGTCTTCTTATTCACAAGATCAAAGGACTGGGTGCAGACCTGGCACAAAATTAGTTTAGGTGTTTGCCATAGCTTTACAGATAGGTCCTCATGAGGCATACTGAGAAAGATCAACATGAGTGCCAGAGTGAAAGACAACAGTATCTGAAGATCTTCGTAACTGAATACATTATAGTTACCTACTATTATTCAAAGCTAGAAAAATTAATCAAATGTCTAACTGTTGATAATGAAAGTATAACAATTACACAATTCTGAAAATATACCAAGACTATAAATTTCCAAGACCATTACAGATGCATACATACATGCGTATGCAAGAATGTGTGTGTGTGTGTGTGTGTGTGTGTGCGCGCGCGCGCACATGCACATGCCCTATAGACTTCGGCAAACAGGCCTTTAGATGCTGTACCTGGGGGAAGCCGACAAGCACCAGCAGGGTAAAGATGTTGGTGTGCTTCAGCTGGAAAGGAAGCTGCTTGATGCAGTGGTCTGTGAAGGTAGCAATGACATCTCGCCACAATGGGGCATTGTTGAGTGATCGAAGGATCTCTGCCATGGAGCAGGCCCAGTCCAAACCCACTCGGCTAGAAGGCAAGAGCTCCAATGTTAGGTGGCAATGTGTGACGCTATACCCTCACAAACATCATCACTGTCCTAGATAGTCAGACTCATGCAAAGAACCATCCATTACTTAGCTTAAAAACTACCAAAATGATGCTTTTCACATAAAGACAAGTGAAAACAACAACAAAATCAAGATCTGTTACTTATATACTCAGCTTACAAACTCTACCTACAACTATGTTCTCAAATGTCTGTAAAACAGTGGTCTTCAACCTTTGGGTCATGACCCCTCGGGGGGGGGGTGTCAACCAACCCTTTCACAGAAGTCATCTAAGACCATCTGAAGGGCTGGAGAGATAGGTCAGAAGTAAAGAGCACCCAGCGGTTCTTCCAGAGGACCCAGGTTCAACTCACAGCATCCACATGGCAGCTCACAACTGTCTAGAACTCCAGTTCCAGGGATCATGTACCCTCACAGAAACACACATGAAGGCAAAACACCAATACACATATCAAAAAGACCATCTGAAAACATAGATATTTACATTATGATTCATAATGTAAGAAAATTAAGTACGGGCATTGGGGTTGAAAGGTTTTCTTCATAACATCAGCAAAACTACAGTTATGAGTAACACTGAAAATGATTTTACGGTGGGGGTGACCACAACATGCGGAGTTCTAGTAGAGGACCGCAGCGTTAGGGAGGCTGGAGCCACTGCTCTAGAGTGCCCTCTCCACAAGCATACACAGACACACTCATACTCACAGTCCTACTCAGACAGGCGCTTAGAGATGCATATGGAAATCAAGGTCATTTTTCCTTCTTCATTTCACATTTGGTATTATGATTATTATTTTTGTAATAAAAACAGACTTTTTAACCCCAGTGCTTATACTTATTTTTCTCAGGAAAAATCTACCAGGATAAATCTCATCAGAGTTGACTGGCAGGTACTGCTAAGCTCTCAGCTATTTCAGTGTGGGGCTGTGAGTTGGATTCTCAGCAGAGCCTCAGCACTGCAGCACACTGAAACTCATCAACAGTGAGCACCACAAGGGTGGAGTGCAGACTAGGTATGTGAAAACCAAGGTTACCTGTCCAGGCAGACAGCGCCCAGGCTGAAGAGCAGGTGGGTGGTCTTCCAGCCATCTGGCACAACGCCATTGTCTGCTGCAGCTAACAGGTTGTGTTTGGCTGAAAGGACCTTGATGACTGCAGTGTCCACCTCTGCTGGTAAAAGACGGACAATTAACTGGCCCAGAAGACCCAGCGTGAGGTGGTAGGTTTCATTCAGGTGGCCTGCGTTGGAGATGACAACCTGAAACATGAGTGGGAGGACGTGTTCCAGGTCTATCAGGGGAACTGTGGGACCCTGTCAATAGAGAGGGGAAATCTCTTTAGTACAAAATCCAGTCAGCCACATCATCTATACATGCCACCCATTCATGTATTACAACTGGACTAATTCTAGTTTCAAAAATGACAAGTGTACAATCTACAGTAAATAAAATATGTTCAAGTATCATCTTATCTTTTAAATTTATTTTTTTTTTACTTGTGTGTGTGTGTGTTTATATATGTATGACTATTCATATGTAAGCGCAGGTCCTTTGGAGCCCAGAAGAGGGAGGGCACTGGATTCCCTGATGCTGGAGTTACAGGTGTTGAACCTCTGGACATGAGTGCTGGGAACCAAACTCCACAAGAGTAGCAAGCACTCTTAACTGCTGAGCCGTATCTCCAACCCCTTCTTATCCCACTCCTAATATTCCTTTACCCTTAAAGTACAGAAAACACTTGCTTTTTTCTTCCTTTCCTGGTGATGTGCATTATAAAGAATTCACAGAAACACATAAAATTCAGACTTTCGATCACAGCCCCCCTCTGACTCACCAATGTCATGGAAGTAACAACTACTAACAGTTGAATAACCTTTCTCCATACACATCTGTAAGCAACACCTGTAAATTATTCTCCCACCCTCCCTCCTTTCCTTCCTTCAGTATGATGTGCATGTATGCACATGTGGAGGCCAAGGAAAGACCTCCAATGTTGGTAACTTGTACCTTGTCTGAGACAGGGTCTCTTTGTTGTTTGCTTCTGTGTATGTCAGACAAGCTTGCCTATGGGTTTCAGGGGTTTTTCTGTCTCTACCTGCACCATCGTCTCCATGAGGAGACACATGTTACTCTATGCAACTTTAAGTGGGTTCTGGGTCCTCAAGCTTGCATGGTAAGTGCTTTACCTATCAAGTCATTTTCTCAGCCTTATTTTTCTTTCTTTAAATACTGTCTGCATTTTACTTGGCTTCCAATGCTATATTATTAAAAATGCCATTTAGAAAACAGCTGACTACATTTAAACCATTTATTATTTTCCATAGGAAAAAAAGAGAAAACCGGAGAACTTCTTTAATAATTGTGAGTTAGCATAGTGAGTGTGATTCAAGAGGGCACTGTATACATACTAGTAAAACAAAGCAACGGTAGCACCAAAAGCTCTTACAATAAAAAAAAATGAACCTCAGGAAGCCTTTCCCTTAATGGGATGGCTGATAAGACTGCTGGAGTCCATGAAGAACAAGGAAAGTGTGCAAAGAGGGGCTGGTGTGGTGTGTGGTGTGGGCTGCAAGTTCCCATGTAATGGGGGTACCTAGGAATTGGCATGAAGACAGACATGGTGAAGCGCTATTAAGGTTGGGAGAGTCTCAGTATAGAGTCCAAAGAGGAAAAGGAGAACATTCTTCAAAGAATAGTGCCTGTGATGGAAGGCTGATCATATAAGTGATTATGCCAAGGGTCATGGGACGCAGGACCTCATGTTAAAGATTAGAGGTACAAACACAAAAGAAGAAAAAAGAAAAAAAAAACCTGAATGAATCTTGTGCCATTGGGCATGAACTGCAGGGACTGCTGTGAACTCATAATTCATTTCTTATTCTCTGAACCCGATGCTATGCTAAGAGAGGACACAATGACTCTCCTGCTAGATACTGTGGCTGAGTCATTAACCATCTTCGAGTCCCACACACAAGGTGATTTCTCTCAGTCTAAGCATCTTTTGGCAAACTACTTTTAAAATGTCCCTGGACCCAGAGATCTGAAGACCAAACCCTGGGTCGCAGGGATATCCCCATCCTTAAAGTTTTACAAACTTGGAGAAACTTGTTTCCACATTTTGCTAGTTCTGTCTAATTCTTAGCCATGAGAAAAAACAAAACACAGTATTGTTAAAGATGTCAGTTATTCCTAAATTAATATATACCTAATGCTATTCCAAAGAAAATAACTCACCAGATCTTAAAGGGGCAGACTGACAGGGTCTTGATAAAACATAATACTAAAATTCACATAAGATATGCACATATGAAAAGTTCAGAAAATTATAAAGAATGCTAAGGATATAGCTAAGCTAGATTCTTTGAAGATATTAATATTATGAAAGTTACCACAATAGGGGTAGACAGATGGTTCAGTGGTTAAGAGCACTTGCTGCTCTTGGAAAAGACAATATGGGGTTCAATTTCCTCTAACTCCAGTCCCAGGGGATTCAATGTCCTCTGGCACATGGCATCTGAAAGCATGTGGTGTGTATAAATTCATGTAGGCATACACACACACACACACACACATGATCTTCAGAGGCAGATGGATCTCTGTGAGTGTGTTCGAGGCCAGACTGACCTACAGAGCTAGTTCCAGGACAGCTAGGGCTGTTCCACAGAGAACCCTGTCTAGATAAACCAAAAAAAAGTAACTATAAGAATAAGAAAAATAATTAAAAACAGTCAATCACACTCATACAAAATGTAAGTTCAAAGGAGAAAGTAACTTTAATTCATAATCATCCCCTCCCTCAGGACACAGAGCTGTCGCTAATCGTTGGTTTTGGCTTACATCTTATCACTGTTTTTCCTGTGACTACAACCACCCACTCTTCCACAAAGAAAACATTGCTTGCCTCTTACCGACTTGATGGGAGGTAACATGGCTGCTAGCAATCCTAAAATCCTCTTCTGGGAACACTCTGCAAACACTTGCTCAGGGTTTGGAGTAACTGCCTTCTCTTCTGCTGTCTGAGATGACACTTCTGGATGTTCAGCATCTGTGTGGGAAAACACTTTCAGATTTTGCCAGGTTTCACACACAGAGAAGGCAACTAAACCACGCCACTGTCCTTGTGATCCTGTAGAAGGGAGCTGGATAGTCTATAGATGAAATAAGGCATGGTAATGCATGCTTGGAATCCTAGCACTTGACAGGGTGGCTAATCAAGAGTTTGAGGCTAGGCTGGGCTACACAGCAAGACTTTGTTTCAAAACGAACAAAGGCTGGAGAGTTTGCTCAGTGGTTAAAAGCACTGGTTGCTTTCCAGAGGACCTGGGTTTGAACCCAGCATTCACATGGTGGTTCACAACCACCTGTAACTCCAACTTGACTCTCTGCCTATACTAGGCACATACTTGGTACATAGATATACACATAGACAAAATACACATAGACATAAAATTATAATCTTTTAAAAAACAAAAACAAAACCCACAAAAATAACAAACTCTATTGTTGAACACTTTTTAGAGTCACCTTCTCAAGGAGGCCTTCCTGCTCCCTAATTGAATAGGAACCATCCTCCCTGTTCTCTGACCCTGCTCTTAAACTAGACGCTCTCTAGCATTTGATTAACCTTTAACATTCTGCATATTTGTGTTTGCTGTTCATCATTTACCCTTCTGATTTTTGCCTCTTTTGTGATATACCTCAAGCACCTAGCAATGTCCCAGAACATGGGGGTACTTGACACATACTTGTTGCCTATGGACCAGAATGCTGATCCTCAGGGGAATCTGACTCTGGTAGACTTTGAGGATCTGATATGATGCCTACTGCTTTTGAGAGTTGGCCCTGAAGATGGTGTAGAATCTACTCCCTTCCATCCTATTACAGAACAAAAAATGGGATAGAACCTGGGCTACATGAAGCATCTCCATCAACCCAACACTATATCCCCATCCTCCAAAACCCCAGCTCCAAGCCCACCACGTCCATCTTTTCACAGCCCGAGGCCTGAACATCAGAGGCATGCAGCAGAGCACCACAGCAGCTCTTCTGTGTCACCTTCCAGCGCTCTGCTCTGGCTCTGCACACCTGCATGAGGACTTCTCATGTTAGTTCTGGAACCTACTAAGAGGCCATTTCTCACAGTGATTTCTGCCTGATGTCAGCCCCTACTGCATATCCTGGCACATGCAAAGTCCCTTACACCTCCTTCTACATGGCATTATACAGATAAAAATCTGCTCTAGATCCCAATCAGGGCTCACACTCATCACCCTTCTCCTGGGACCACTTTAAATGACAGTTATTTGGAACCTTCCTGGATTGTGAGTTCCAGGAGGGCAGAGGCCATGTGTGCCTTTGCCTGTGCTGGTAGATTTTACCCCTGGAAGCTCAACAAAGAGAAGGCTCTTGGTAAATGTATGGACTAGATAAGCTAAAGTACAGACGGCGCAGGGTTACCAGCTGCAGCTGAACACAAGGGAGAAACCTCGGTTACTGGATAATTTCCAACTGTATGTGACAGTGCAGACATGCTGACACACGTACTTGGAGAGGAGGAGGTGGGGTTAATGGCCATATGATCCTGACCTGGAGGTCCTGGAGACATGTGAGCATTTGCAGGTACATCAGAAGTTTGGGTTTGGTACAAAGGGTCCTTCATTAAGGCGAGACCTTCACCTGCTGTTTTCCTCTGTTTATAATCCAAAGGTCTGACTTCTTTATCTGCAGCTCTCTTTCCCTAAAAATAGGAGGTAAATGTAAAAAAAATAACAAAAATGTACTCCATATATGCTGTATACAGTTGTTAGTCTTTCACAAACTAAAAATCTTTGGAATTTCCTTAGAAAAATGTCACTAATTTCTTAGAATAAACCACTACTCTACAATAATGATTCTCCCCTCACATCCCCTGATCATCTTGGAAGTGCCATCAGAGCTTCCAGGTCACATAAGCAATGGCTGATAACAAACCTTCACTATATTCTGTTAGGCTTCAAGAAGCCAAGAATGGAAAGTCCTTTTGGGAAAAAAATGAAGTTGTTGATTTTTTCTGCTAGTACAATACAGTGGTCATCTTTATATATTTTACTTTTTTTGTAGAAAAAACAAACACAGGCTGGGAGATGCCTCAATCAACAAAATGCTTGCCGTGTAAGAATGAGGACCGAAGTTTGGATCTCTAGCAACTATGTAAAAATCAAGTGTGGTAGAGAGTGCCTGTAATCCCAGCACGGGAGGATGCAGAGACAGGGATCCCTGGTGCTTACTGACCAGTTAGTATTACTGAATTGGTGTTTCGGTTCAGTGAGAGACCTGCCTCAAAAAGAATAAGGTGAAGAGTGATAGAGGAAGGCTCTTGATGTTGATATGCATGTACACATGAAAATGTACACATGCATACAGCATACACATACCATAGAAAAACGAAACCCATCTTTATTTACAATCAGAAAAGTATTATATCTACTATTCTCTTTAATGCTATTATAAAGATAAGGTTACATCAAATCTACACATAATAGTGTTTCTCCTGCCACAGATGCAGTTATTTTATTGATATAGAAATGAATATTCTCAGGGTATAGGACAGAGATATGAGCTCAGTGCATAAGAGGCCTTAATGTACAAGCATGAGGATGAGTCAGATCCCAGCACTCACATACATGATTTGTTGCCACCTACGGGAGGCCTGCCCCTTTCTGAACAGAAACAGAGGAGGAGTGAATGTGGGGGGTGGGAGGAAGATGGGGAAAATGAATGAGAGGAGAGGAGAGAGGAAAGATTGTGGTTGGGATGTAAGGTAAATGAATAAATGTAATTAATTTTTACAAAAGGCTGGATGTGGCCATGAATGTGTTAAACCTTTAACTGCTGCCAAGGGAAGAGGAAGGAGGATTGCTGGAGCTTGTTAATCACATTAATTTCAGGTTCTGCGAGAAATCCTGTCTCAAGGACTATGGCAGAGTAATGCAGCAGGACACGCAAGTCCTTTTCTAAGATTGAGCTTACTGTGTGCATGGTCCAAATACTTTACATGGTTCTTTCAAGTGTGGACAGCGCATAACTCCTGCAATAGCCCTGTGTTACAATCACTATTATTATCACCCCCTTTTACAGCCTGCACCTATACACACACACACACACACACAGAGAGAGAGAGAGAGAGAGAGAGAGAGAGAGAGAGAGAGAGAGAATGAGAATACAAAAGCCAAGCAGGAATAGCCACTGGGCCACAAACATGGGGTCAGTCTGAGCATCAAAATAAATAAAAAATAAAAAATAAAGTCCATTTTGGTGTAAATGAATGAACACATCGATAGATGGTGACCACAATGTTAACTTCCCTGTTGTGCCTCTTTGTGTAACTGGCTCCCTGAATGCAAGCTGTGACCACATGGCAAAGACACACTACTCACACTGCAGGGCACAAACAGGCTCGCATCTGCTGGCTCCTCAGCAAGCTGAACTTTTTTCTTCTCTAGTTGGTCCTCTGAGGTTTGGATGGACATTGTTCCTGGCAGGGCTTGATTTTTTGAGGTAGAGTCACCATCTGGCAATACACCAAGAAGAGCTAGAGCTTTAAGACCTGGAATGGGAAAAAGCAAGAACATGGTTAAACATTCACAACAGGGATATTACTGGCGAGTGCCACAAAGTTTAACCACTGCATACAAACAGATGGCTTGGTGGGGGTGGGAGGTGTCACACATATCATACAGCAACATCTCTGGCAGCCTGCCATGCCCCTCCTGATCTCAGATGGGAAAGACAACAGCAAAGGGCACCTGCACTTTAAGCACAATGAAACACTGAAGATACAAAGGCGACAGGATTGTTTTGAAAATTAGAAACATTTTTTTTCTGGTAGTGCCAAGTAATTATTATTATTATCTTCTGAGACAGGGTCTCACTATGTATCTCTGGCTTGCCTGGAACTTGCTAAGGAGACCAGGGTGGCCTTGAACTCGCAGAGCTGTCAGAGCACTAGAATTAAAGGCATGTACTGCATTATGCCTGGCTAACGACTAGATTTTTAAATACCCCCTGACAGAGGTATCACCCTCCTTCTCCGTAAGATAAGTATGATTTCCTGATATCAATTAGGATGGGGAGTCTACCACCTGAGAGAAACTAAAATGTCTCAGAAGTTTAACATTTGCACTATTTTCTTTCTAAAAAAAAAAAAAAGTAGTCAGAATTACTTCAGTGAAGTCAGAATTAACTCATTATTTTGTTATTTTGAGAAAGGGCATCCATGTAGCCCCACCTAACCTCCACAGAACTGGATCTGAATGTGCATGGTCACACCCAAAACACACCATTATTTGTAAGCAGCTTTCATCTCAGATACAAGTACATGTGGATTTGCACTTCAGGTACTGGAAAAAAAAAAAGGATGGATTCCTGAGTAAAGTGAGAGATTCAAATATTATAGATCCACGGACTTCCAGAGTTTTATTATTAATACTGCATTGTGCTGTCAGGAAAACACTTTGACTAACTAGATGCTACTTTATGACAACAGTCCTCTCAAGAGAAACTGGGACTTAAGTTCCAGGCTATGCTAAATCCCTCTTGTTTACTACCTCTGAGCCAAGCAGAGTCTTTTATGGCTACCTGGGCTTTTTGTCCAACAGCAAGCAGAGGCAGGGCGGGTGTTCTACATAAGAAATAGTTAGTTACCTTTGCCCTGGTGGGCCTTCATCAGACAGTCTCCAACTAGCTGCATGCACTGGCTCCGCAGGGTGGCAGCGTTACTGCGGGCCCGGGGGTCCAGCTGCTCCCCATCCACGTGCTCTGTGCTGGTCAGGTGGGCACTATAGAGAGCCAGGGCAGCAAAAAGCAACCAGGAGTAGTTGTGAATATAGGGCTGGATGAGCCTCTGCCGGTCACTGATCCGGATGGTCACCATTGGGTGGGCTGTGATGCTGTGGGTTGGCAAATGGCTGCAAAGACATGAGAGTTTTAAGGCCTACAGCATTTGTGAGACTATGGAAAAGATACCTAGGACCTCAGGGGAGTATGTGCCTTAGTCACCAATAGGCTGTGGTTATTGAAGCTTTAAAGAATAGTATCAACTCTTTCCCCAGAGAAATGAACAAACACAAACACTGGGCATCTCACACTAGCACTTCACAACCTAAAGCCTGCACATGGGAACCACGCTAAGGAAGACAGATTTCAGAGATTTCTGAGGGTGTGATACTGAAGTTTGGTAATGCAATGTAATGCCCGTAATTTAAAAAAATAAATTACAAGGTATAGGAAAGAAATGACTTAAGGTTTGAAATGTGTTTTAAGTACTTGAAGGTGAGCCACCATGTGGTTCCTGGGAATTGAATTCAGGACCTCTGGAAGAGCAGTCAGTACTTTTAACCTCTGATCCATCAAAGGAAAATATATTTTGAAGCCATGAACAGATATAACATATCTTTTTACTATATGCTGTTTGTTTTTAGGTTAAGCTCCCTAATGCATAATAAAATTTCAATGGATAAAAAAAAAACAAATAAATACTTTAAGGTATTAAGAAAGGGATGAAGTAGGCACTCTTGATGCCATCTCCCTAACCACTGAATCCAAGGACATAGAGTGCACTGTACTAATCTCTCTTCTAAATATGTTAAAAATTGTATTAAACAAAACAAAACCTTTCTTTTAAAAAAGTAAGAAAGGGGCCACAAGACAGCTTAGTAAGAAAGGCATTTAGCAAACCTGGTGACCTGAGTTTAATCTCTAGAACCCACAAAGAGGAGAAAAGAGAGAAGTGATACCACAAAACTGTCTTCTCATCTCCACACGTGTATGCATGTGCACGCGCGTGTACGCACGCACACACACACACACACACACACACACACACACACACACACACACCCCTAATAACAATACAAATTTTTTAACGTAAGGAAGGCTAGCAGTATAGCCCAGGTATAGAGTGCTTGCCCAGCATCTGTGAAGTCTTGGGTTTAGTCCCTAGTACCACAGAAAAAGCAAAACACCTCCTTTAAGTAAAGACATAGTTAGTTCAAAAGGTCATGGTGGCAGCAAGACAACTGACATACCCATAGGAGTATTTTTTTGCTGCATAGCATCCATAGCAAAGATCAAAGTCATCACACACATTGCAATTCATTCTCCGGCCTATGATCAAACCCTGGCAGTGGTCACAGGTGAACTCCATGTTGACCATTTCATGATCATCTCCATGGCCCTCAGGCTTCACTCCACCTGAAGAAAAACCAGCAGTGTGTGAGGTGGATGGGGTAGAGGGTCCCCCAGAGTGCTAGCAAACTGATCCCAACACCAGAGCAATTTCTCATTTACTACTCCAGAAGGCAGGAGTTCCATTGAAGACTAGAATGCCCTGGTGGCAATGATATATGAATATCAATGATATTCTCAGCATAGAACTCTGGCAATGGTCCAGCTGACTGATCCCCATTCTACAGTGTCACAGTCAGATCAAATACATGCCAAATTACTACCATGACTACTATTTGGGAGAAAAAGTCCCATGCACTTTGTGAGTTATCTCTTATACCCCATCTCTGATAGAAGTTACACAACCACTGGTATGCTCCAGTGATCAAGTTTCTGTTCTTTTTTGTCACTGCAGAATTATAGGTGAAAATAGACTTCAGAACCCCAGACCCGATGAGTTAGAGAAGAACAGACATGAACAAGACAGGGTACTCTGATCTCAGTCTAAGTCCCTGCTCAATCTCCTCACAGCTGGCCACTTCTGTTTCCAGTGTGACTAGAGTCTCCTAAAGGAGAAAAACACGGACAGTCTCCCCTGACCATAGCTTTGGCCATGGTAACATCCTAGTTGTAAACTGTCCCTCCTGTCTTCAGACTATTCAATTTCTTAGCCTAGCATCTCAGGATCCTACAACCTGAACCCTGTCTGTCTTATTCTATCACTTAACTAAACAGACACTCAAGGGTATCTATCTAAACTCACTGAAAGCACTCATTCCTGTCCCTGAGCTTGCTCTGCTCTTGATGGTAATGCTATCTTCAGAGTTTTGCAATGCCATCTAGTGTGAACTTCCTTCAAAAATCAATTCTTACCCTATCTCCTCCACAAGGCTTCTCTGTAGAAAGCTTCTATATTTCCAAAATTTTCCAGAAATACTTTGCTTTGCTCAGTTATAATAGCATTTGCATTTATTATGTGGATATGTTTGGTCTCTCTGGTAGATTGTATTTCCAGGACAGGAACTGTGTCTTTTACTGCTGGACTTCAAATACACAGAGCCCTCCAGGACTCACTACTGCAGAAAGGCTCTGCCCTAGCACCTATGAGACAAGTATATTAAAGAATATTTCAAGTTTATTTTGCTTGTTCACATATGTTGCTATTTGGAACTACTGTGTGATTCAGAAGCAAAATTTCTTAGAAACTTATCTGAGCCTGCATTAATTAGTCCTGAGAGTTTATCAAGGGCCTCCCCAGCAGGATGGGAGATGGAAGGATGCCAGATAGTAGCAGCAAAGCTCATCATTGAGTTGAGGGTAAACGAACCAGAGACACTGGACAACATCTCTATTCAGCGCAATGAATTTTTAAAATGGCAAAATCATATTAAGCAGAAATGAATGTTGCTTGTGGACATGGGATTCCCCCTGAATTTTACCAAGGAAACAAGTCTTGCAAAGGTCCATGTCACTGCATTGCAGACATCGGTAGCGATGCCAGGGGGCAATCTCATCACACCCATCACAAGAGATGTCCACATTTAACAGGTCACAGTAGCGAGCAATAAACATGTGCATCTGTAAGGTGAAATGAACACAATTAGCCAACAGCCTTTCTTTTGTGGCCACTGTTCATTAATCAATTCATTCACTCAGTAGAAACCTAGGAGCCCAAGCTTTGTACCAGGTGCTAGAATTTGAAGTTGGATAAGCAAGTACCCACTTAGGAATTCCCTCAAGCAAACAGATGATGGTCATGCTATGTGGGGAATGCTTTGAGAGGCAAATTCAGGAAGCTCAGAGAACACAAAGGACACTATCAAAGGAATCTGGAGGGTCAAGGAAGGCTTTTCAAGGAAGACAATTCCTCAGGTAAAACCAAGAACAAACAGATGGTAGTTGGGTGGAGATAAAAGAGACAGGCATAAGGAACAGCAACAGTCCACAGAAGCTTTGCTCCTGTAAAAAGGGAGCATAACACAGGCTGGGGATGTAGCTGAATGTGTGAGCATTTGCCTAGCAGGCATAAGGCACAGAAAAACAAAAAGAAAAAAAAAAGACACAGTTTTTTTTGGTTTGCTTTTTAAAAAGATGTTATTTTATTTATGCACATGTGTGTGCCTATGTATGTGTATGCCAGCAATGTATGTGTACCTGCAGAAGCAAGCATTGAATTCCCTAGAGATAGAGTTGTGAGCCACCCAGCATCAGTGGCTAGAAACAAAACTTGGATCTTTTGGAAGAGCAGCAAGTGCTCTTAGCCACTAACCATATCTCTAGCTCCAGGGCTTTTAAAATGGGCAATAACATAGTATGTATAATAGAGTACAGAGGAGGAATAACCAGGTGAAGTTAGAAAGGTAAACTCCAAGGAGTCTAAGTAGCTAGTATTTAAAAGCAATTTTTCAACAGGAAAGTAATAGCAACAGATCTGGCACTCTGAAGGTTCCTCTGGTTGCAGAGCAAAGAATGGATTTATAGACCAAGACAAGGGTCAGGGAAGCTGACTATGAGACAACTGTTCAAGTAACTCCATGGCGGTAATAAGGGCAGGGATTGAGCTGTTAAACAGGAAGAGGAAAGTGGGCGGATTTGAGAAGTATTAAGGAGGCAAAGTGAGAGGCCTTGGTGACCAAATCAATAAAGGGACTGTCAAGAATGACACCCAGATGCTTGGATTGGGTACTTGTTAGACAATGGAAATGCTAACAAACATCAAAGGAGGACTCTTGATTCTGACACATTAAAACTGCAGGGCATGACGATGCTTTCCCATGATCCTAGCATTCAGTAGACTGAGGCAGGAGGGTTGCAAGTTTTAGACCAGTGTGGACCTCTTTATAAACAAACAAACAGTACTCTGGTTTCTCCTCAGATCATATAAGTCTTTCATCTTTAACTAGCCATACAAGCCAACAGACTTTCTATTAGCTAGCTAATTTCCTTCCTGGGAGCAGATAGTAAGAGGCTGTTATATGAGCAAGCTATAGGGTTACTAAAAAGTACTTGGTGGTTATAAGGTAGTTCATTTTAGAGTCTGCATATGAGGAAACCAAGTCAGAAAGTCACTGTTTGGTAGTAGATGGTATGTTGTAGGAGAAGAAATCTGCCAGGTCACCCGAGCACTACAGGATGCTCTCATTCAGACATGAACTTGCAAGAGAGAAGTCACAAGTCCCAGTTGGTGTGTTCCTCTTAAGTATCACAGAGGTACTATAATGGGCAGAGCAGTTGGCAAACAGAAAATACTCAATATGGGGAAAATTGATGTCTTTATGATACTAGATGTCTGACACATGTAGTAGTGGTAGATGGGACACCTTACATAAAGACAGACAGCCTACCTAAGTTGATTCCTCTACCATGTGCATCATTTAGCTCTCATAGGATAAACAGGAGCTGCTTCCAAGCTCACCTGATTATCAGCTTTGTAATTGGAATGGTGGTTGCCTACAGGAGGACAGTGTGCCAGCCTAGAACAAGAGAGTCCAAACTCTTTGGCAATTCCATTTCCCGCTAACTTAATACACTGGAATCTAATAACATACATCAGCCTTATTAGACACTCTACTGAGAGCCTAGTCCTATGGAAGTAAGCCACCATGATGGATCCCATCAGGATGAAGACAGACATTGGTTCTGAATGTTCCCAGAAGCCCTCTGGGAGACATCATCCAAGTACACCCCTGGGACACCCTCCTCTCCAAATCTTAGCAAGTCACCCAGATTGCTCTAATTGAGAGGTCTTACTTTCCTCTGCTTCTCTGGATCCTCTTGAGCTATTTTTTCATACCAGGCCTCAAACATGCCATCCTGACACTCATCCATCCACTCTGAGTTCTGCTTGGCATCAGCGAGCTCATCTTCTTCACTCCACTGGCTGAAAGAAGGATGTAATGAGTGAACGGCATGCTTCTTACAATATTCAAGGAAGTGCTAGTTAGCAGATGCTGTGCCCCGTAAGTTTAACAGACTGGCATTTTGAAATGATGGAAACTGCTTCTCAAAGCCTCAGTTTATCTGCTATTTAGATTTATGCTCAGAAAACAAAATAAATAAATAAAAAGAAAAATAATATTTCTTAAACAGATTACACTGAGTAGGGCAAACCTATCATATGCCAGGTACTGGAGTCAAATACAAAGATTAAAAAAGTTTAGTGGGGGCTGGAGAAATGGCTCAGTGGTTAAGAGCACTGACTGCTCTTCACCACTTCAATTCCCAGAAACCACATGGTGGCTCACAGCCATCTATAATGAGATCTGGTGCTCTCATCTGGTGTGTAGGTGCACATGGAAGGAAGGCTGTATACATAATAAATAAATAAATCTAAAAAAAAGTTTAGTCAGGCATAGTGGCACATGTTCATAAGGCAGAAGTAGTAAGAATCAGGTGGATCTCTGTGAGTTAAGAGTCCAACCTGAACTATAGTGAGTTCCAAGCCAGCTAGGGCTATATAGTGAAACCCTGTCTCAATAACAACAACAATAATAATAAAGTTTAGGTTGAGGATATAGTCTAGTTGGTAGACCACAAGAAACCTTTGGTTTAATTTCCAGCATATCATAAACATCACACACCTCTAATCCTAGGCAGGAGGATCAAAGACAATTCTTAGTTATATAGAATGTCTGAGGCCAGCCTGAACTAAACACGACTTTGTCTAAAATAAATTCAGTGTGGACATGGGTAGAAGAGCCTAATGCAACCAGCATGAGGAAGGGATCAGGAGATCCTGTGACTTCAGCTCTACCGACGAGTTCCTATGAGACCATGCCACAGTACAGTCAGCCTCTGCATCTGTGACCTCCACATACATGGGCTCCATATCATTGGATTCAGCCAGTATCATATCAAAGATATCTTTTAAAATTTGTCTCTGGGACTGGAGAAATGAATCAGAGGTTAAGAGTACTTACTGCTTTTCCAGAGGACTGGAGTTCAGTTCCCAGAACCCATATCAGCAGCTCACAACTGCCTATTACTCCTATTCCAGGGGATCCAACACCTCTGGTCTCTGAGGACACCTGCACTCATATGCACATGCCCATACAGAGATACACACACATACATATAATTAAAAATTGTCTGTATCAAACATGTGTAGATCCTTTTTCATCACTCTCTAAATAACACAATGTATGAACTACTTACCAAGCATTTACAGTGATTCATAAGGCATCATAAAGTCACCTGGAGATGATTCAATGTATGTAAAAGGATGTGTGTGGGTTATTGAGGGCCTGAAGCATTTCATTTGTATTGATGAGGTTTTAGAACCAATCCACCAAGAGGGAGGAACACAGGGACAGAGATGACTAAATTATATCTGGCCTGCTCCTGATTCCTCATTTCAAATACGAGGTTCCAGGTGGTGACTTCATGGACTCTTCTTATGTAAAGTTACACATTCCATAGTTTCAGTTTACAGTTTGCTTCAGCACTGAGAACTTAAACATGGGCTGAAAAAACTGCTCAATAGTTAAGAGTAATTGCTGCTCTTCAAAGGAATTCAGTTCATTACCAGCACCCACATCAGACAGCTCCCAATCACCTCTAATTTTAGGTCTGGGAGATCAGACATCCTCTTCTGGCTTCCTATGGTACCCACAAACATATGGTATACACTCACACAGACATACATATCTAAATAAAAATAATAAATTCTTTTAAAAAACTTTAAACATGCCAGGCAATGGTGGTGCATACCTCCAATAACAGCATTCAGGAGGCAGAGGCAGTAGGATTTCTATGAATCCAAGGCTAGACTGTTCTGCAGAGTGAGTTCCAGGGCAGCCAAAGCTACACAGTAAAATCCTGTCTCAAAATGCAAAACCAAAAACATCCATCCATCCATTCATTTATGCATTTCAACTAAATGGCTTTAGGCCTCCTCTTACACAGTCTTGAACTAGTTCTGAGGGGTTGGTGTGAAGGGTATGTGTTCCTTCTCTCCTCCAGGGCTCTATCATGCTGGCACAGACAAAACCTGGAACATCGGGCTGACTGACAGCTGAAGAACCAGCTGTCACCCAGTGCTGTGTACCCCATCTGCCCTCTTACAGCAGGTCAAGGGATAGAGAGTCTTATCTGTGGAACTACCTCACTGGCCCAAGGAGACAGCTTTAATTGTCCCCACCTTCCTAGAACATCTCTTTTTAGAGTGAATATACTGAGTGTCATCTCATTCACTATGTCCCAATTCTCCTTTTAACACCTATTCTTCGGTTTTTCTCCCCTCCAAAAGTCATGGATTGTAAATGGGTTTGAGCAGGTAGAGACACATGGGTCAAAAGTGGAATAAAGCACCTTCCTCTTGAGCAGTCCACATCTACTCAGAGGCATATAATTCTGTCTTTTCTTAAGCCCCATCTCTTAATACCTGGGTTTAAATCTATATTAAACTATTGTCTCAAAAAACTCCAAACCTTGTTTTAAAACAAAACCAAAAATTATTTTAAAAAACTTTGCATACCATTTTCTTTTAATATAGAGAAGAGTATAAACAGTCCTCCATTATCATAAACTCTATAGTGAAATTTCCCATGCTTGGGGAAATAGAAGGGGTCAGCACAACCCAAGGGTCATGGTTGAGCCTCACCCTGGGAAAGATTACCTTCTAGATTATGGTGTCTCCCCTTCCAGGTATGTTTTGTATACTATTTTTTTTATTATAATCTAAGTCCTTAAAATATGCAGGACACTATAGTGGCTAACAGCACACAGGTGTAAAATAAAAGGATTCTCCAATTCCACAGGCTATTAGGAACCTCCCAAAATGAAGACAATCCTTATCTTCCAAGTTTATAACACTACTGATGCCAATTTACACTGCCCCGCTGTGTACCAGGCACTATTCTTGACACTCAGAAATGGAACTTACGCATTTTCTACAAGCCTCAAAGGTAGTTCTAAAGATGAAGAAATGGAGGTTAAAAAAAAAAGAAAGGTTAAAAAACTTGCAAGGTCACTCAGTTCACATGTGGTAAAGCCAGGATATATTGCGGACGAGCTGCCAAGCCCATGCCCTTGGCCCCACTCTACCCATGCCCCTACTCTGGAATAGCAAAGGGTGAGACTGTGCTCTTACCTGATCACACTGTCATGGACGCTGATATTTTCTTGTGACATGTTCATGAGAAGATCTGGTAACTGAATGTCAACAAAGAAGGCAAGATCACTGGGTTCCCAGCCCATATCCAAAAGATGAAGCAGGGCTGTCTGAATACAGGATAAAGCAGGGAGCAGAGACCTAAAGAGACCACATAGGTGACAATTACCAAAGCTGCCCACTGCCAACAGGGACAGTGTAAGTTGGCAGCCTGATTTGGTACTAATTTGTAAGGCAGGATTCTACACAAATATCCTTTGAAGCTTAGGAAAAAAACAAAAACCAAAAAACCTGATAACTCTGAAAGGTGGAAAGTGAGTTTGGAGCACCTGACAGTAAGGGAGTGAGCAGTGAAGTCATGCACTGATGAATGACAACATTAGGGCAGGCCCAAATTAGCTGAGGCTAGACAGTTACAGAAGAACCATCTGATTTAAAGATTGCTAAGCAACTATTTAATCTGCTTTGTACTCAAGCTTTAATCTGCACATAATACATCAAACACTAAGGATAACAGGCTATAAACTCTTAGATTTCCAGAAACCTATCCAATGCACACATATTATACACACACACGAAATATACTAGTTAGTGAATATTTGTGGTTAATTTTGTGCTTTTCTGGATTTTCAACATCAAATGTGTGTTTCATTTATAATCACAAAAGATTACATTTTTTTTTTTAGCAAGAAATGTAGAGGCACTCCAGTACCTGTCATTGATGCTATTAAATCCTTTAATTGCTTTAACCAAAAACAGAACAAGTTGATAGTAGGTGTCTCGGATTTCTTTGTGTAGATCAGCACCACAGCCTTCCAAGTGTCCAAAGTAACTGAAAACAGAGAAAATCACCAGCTTAATATCCAGGACAACTTCAAGCTATTAATCTTTATCCCTCACACAAAACAGCCAAGAAACAGACATCTGGACAAAGAGGCATGGAGATTGGATTAAAAACAGATACAGTGCCCCCCCCCCCTTTTTCCCCCCGAAGCAGGGTTTCTTAGTAGCTATGGAGCCTGTCCTGGAACTCTCTCTGTGTATAGACCAGGCTGGCCTCAAACTCACAGAGACCCTCCTGCCTCTGCCTCCTAAGTGTTGGGATTAAAGGCGTGCCTGCCCAGTACAGTGACTTCTGAGCGCAAGTACAGTTGGGTCAAAAGAGCAGTCCAGCCGAAGTGTAGCAGTGACAACTACACATCTCTCTTTGTTAATCAAACAAAGCATCCGTTCCCACTGCATGAGTGTGCCATGCTATGTCACAGGCTTTCTGTTACCTCATTTAGCCCTCTCTATATCAACATGCCCCCAATCTGTTCTTCTTTCAATGATAACTTTAGTATTACATTTTATTTTTCATTTTAACTCCCCCACCCCCCGCCAAGAGAGGCTCTCTGTGTGAGGTCTTGGCTGTCCTGGAACTCACAGGAATGCCTATGCATTCCAAGTGCTGGTTCACTGGCTTTTCATACTTTGACCCTTGCACCTAAGTGACTAAAACATCAACGGAAATGATGCCTCCCATTTCTTTTTCTCTTGATTCTCTGTCCACTTCATTGCCAACGATTTTCACTTTGATGGTCCTTCCTTAATCTTGTCATCAGGTGAAGACTCACTTCAAAACATGCTACCCCACCAACAAACTCTTGTCCTGTTCTCCTATGGATCCTACACAGCCCTTTTTCAATCCTAGTGGGCCCCAGGCAAGGAAGTCACACCATATAACCATAAGCGACACCCAGTATGCTCATCCTCTGTTCTCTTCTCAGCTTGGATTCCATAGTCTACCATCATACTCCTATGTTAGAAACATCAGCTCCCTGGCCTCTCTCTCTCTTTCTATAAGGAATTCCTCTAGTATAAGGATCTTACATTATACCAAAACAGCGAATGTAGGTAGAAGGACCAGCATGCAATCAAGCTGACTAATGTCACTTTAAACTTATAACCAACCATCAGTTTTTCTTATTTCTCTTTAAAAATAGTATTTCCTTTAGGCTGGGCATGGTAGCGCATACCTTTAATCCCAACAGTCAGGAAGGAGAGGTAGAGGATCTCTGTGAGTTTGAGGCTAGCCTGGTCTACCTACATAGCAAGTTCAGGGATAGCAAGGACTAAAGAGAGACTATGTCTCAAAAAAATAAACAAAATGATTTTTTTAAAATTTTATGTGTACGAGTATTTTGCCTACATGTATGTATGTGTAACATGTGTGTGCCTGTTCAGAAGAGAGTATTAGGAATTTCCCTGGAACTGGAGTTACAGATAGGACCCGCCATGTAGGTGCTGGAAACTAAACTCAAGTCTCCTGCAAAAACAAATGCTCCTACATCCAAGTCAACTCTTGCTGTGGGACAATGGTCTGTACCCTGTCACTTGTATTTTAAATAAACACTGATTGGCCAGTATCCAGGCAGGAAGTATAGGCAGGGCAACCAGGCAAAAGGTAGAGGCAGGGCAACGAGAATTCGGGGAAGAGGAAAGATTCAGTCTGCAGTTGTCACCCATACATAAAGAAAGTCAGAAACAGAGCAAGCAAGATGTGACTGCCTCATCAAAAAAGGTACCAAACCACGTGGCTAACACAGACAAGAATTATGGGCTAACATAAGTTATAAGAGTTAATAAGAAGCCTGAGCTAATACGCCAATCAGTTTATGATTAATGTATACCTCTGTGTATTTCTTTGGGACTGAACAGCTGCAGGACTGGATGGGACAGAAACATCAAAGACAGCAAATGGTGCCCAACATGCAACTACATCTACAGAAAACCTGAGAGAGCTTGTGAATGGCTGCAGGATCAGGCAGGACAGGAAACCTCGGGCAACAAACTCTAGCTTCTCTCTCTCTCTCTCTCTCTTTCTCTCTCTCTCTCTCTCTCCCTCCCTCCCTCCCTCCCTCTCTCTCTCTCTCTCTTTCTCTCTTTCTTTCTTTCTTTCTTGAGATAAAGCCCCACATCATCCAAGCTGGCTTGGAACTTACTATACTACTACCCCTACTGGTCTCAAACTCAAAACAATCCTCCTGGTTCTGCCTCTTGAACACTAGGAATACAGAAGTGTACTACCAGACCCAGCTTACAAACAATTCTTTAAAAAGCACTTGAAATTGTCAAGCAGTGTAGCAGACTGGCTGTCTTAGTTTTTGTCTCTATGTAAAGTCTTCCTGCTTTTCCTTGTATGGTCACTACCTTTTTCTCTACCTCATTTCACCGATGACTCTGTTCAACTTTTTATCTATCTATCTATCTATCTATCTATCTATCTATCTATCTATCTAT